AAGTCATTTAGGCAGGATTGCTGGAATAATGTGGTTACTCATAGCATACGGAGGAGTGAGAATTTGAAAAGAGCAAAGGAGATTATGCTGCTCTGAATAGTGAGTTGCAATTATAAGGGAGAACTGGAGAGGATAAATAGAACAGATGCTTGGTATTTCTTTACAGACTAGTAAAATTACTTGTACAATGGAAAGACTCCATATAAGGAGCCACGGAATTTTGAGAGGCCTGTGAGAGATAACCAATAAAAGGATTAAAACAAGAAATAAGACTGAAGTCACTTGAATGAGAAATTTTGAAATAATCTAGCAATGTAAAACTTGTCCCCATATATAGTTTTGCAAGTCATGATACAAAAACAAAACTGGTCGTAAACAATTTGAAGAGGGAAGACAGATGATAAAGAGCAAATACACTGAAGAATATACTTGAGGCATAACCAGTAAAACCAGTAAAAGAAAAGGACATTCAGTATATTAAAAGAAAAAAGATAAACATTGACCAAGTGAGACCAGTCTAATGATATCAACGAGGTCTACTGCAGTGCTCAAGATATCAGTGTATGGGCTTCCCTTGTTTAAGATGATGATAAAGTGACAAATGACTAGAAAATAGCAAATGATGAAGATAATGATATTCCTTTATTAGTATTAATACACTACAGTAAGGATCTCACCAGCTGCTGCAAAACCTGCATCGTCTATGGCCAAAATTCTAACTGGCTGATCTTGTTGCAAATGCCTTGCTGCTTCGGTTCACAGGAGATTCATCCTCACATGAGCATCACTCTGTAAATATTTGGATTTACAGAAATAATACAAGCTATGTGAATAGTACTAATAGAAGGTACTGACACCATATACTAGGGTGCAATATATAAGTAGGTTATTCCTGAATGATTTGAATTGGAAAATATCATTATTTTTTATCTATTTATTTTTTTAAATATATATTTCCATTTTAGTCAATTCCTTCAGTCCTTTACGCACTAGATTGGATTTCATCCAATGCATGCTTTGAGGAACTTTTTAAGTTACACCAGTAACACACTATGACCATTTCAGATATACAGTTTATTCTATTTTATCAATATAATCCTTTTTGTTGAAAAAAATAAATAAATAAATAAAAGCTAATCCTCAAAACTTTATTTAAAATCATTGAAGCAAATATAGAATTAATTATATTCTGCATAATTGGGACAGTTACCAACAAAAGGAATAGGGAATACTTTCTTTGATACGCCACAGTATATCATTTTAAGGTGTTGTACACTGGTTATATCAAATCACATGGTACTGCGATTCTCTTTATGGACGTGGTAGCCTAAGATATGCAAGTTATTCCAATTGCATCTACAGACACAAAAATACATATAAAGACTGAGTTCACTTTCAACTCATCAATGTATAAAAAAATATATATATATATCAATCTATACTGTAAGTGTTTAAAATTTGAGTACATACATTCAAGGCTCTGATGTGAACAGTCTTTCCTAAGGAAGTCTATAGCTGAATTTTCCAGTAGTGCAGTTTCCTGTAGGCTACCTTCAATTCAGATGTTCATAATTCTTTTCAAAGGTATCAAGCCAGCTGATATATCTGATATAAAGATGAATATTGCATTAAATAAAATAGTTATCAGTTAATAGTCCATGGTTGAAACAAATAAATATATGTCATATAGCACTATGGTAATGTATTATGGTGAAAAGGGTAAATGAGTTTAAGATTAGTATTAGGCGTGTTAAAAAGGTTATAGTGTTATAGGATAGTATGATAGGGAAAAGTGTTAAAAAGGTTATAGTATTACAGGACTATGATAGCGAAAAGGGAAAGGGTTAAGGGTACAGGGTGACTGGATGGAATGGTGTGTATCTGTTGTTGGGGAAGCTATGAGAAAATAAGATACCACATATTGGGGGAACTTTTTGGGGAGAAGGATGGATATCAGCAAATACTTTGAGTGTAGAGGGACTAGGAATAGAGGGGTTGGAGGGTGGATGACGGAGTGGATCATTTTCTTGAGTCATGTCTAGGAATTTTTGGGAGTCTTCAAGAGTTTCTGGAGGGGATTTGGGTAGAGAGGTCTAAGAAACAAAGTTTCTCTTGTGAGGAGGAGAAGAGGGAATAGATGTTCGAAAATCAGTGGAAAAAGAGAGTGTAAGAAAGGTTATGGGAGGTGAAGATGGGGTAAAATGTTTAGGGTGTCTGTGCAATGGTTAAAGTGTGGGGGAGGAAGGGTAAGTATCGGAGAAGTACTAGAAATTTCAGTATCTGGATTTAGAATGGAAAAGGGATTTGACTGGGGGATAGGGACAGTACAGGTAGGATGGTTCAGGGTAGAGGGAAGAGGTACTGGGGGAGATGTAGAAACATCTTGTGAAGATGGAGGGGGTATAGAGCGAAAGACTGTTTTGGAATAGTTAGAGAGAAAAAACCTTGTTGTCATACTTCCTGTCTAGCCTCATATAGAATGAGGCTTAGTTTGAATCTGAGAACTGCAATCTCACATTCGGGCTTATAGACAAGGCAGCACCTTTAAAATAGTCACCACAGATAGTCACCACAGTTGGCACATGTATGTGACTGAGCAGGGCAATCTGAACGGTCATGACCTGGTTGGGCACATAGAGGGCAACAGGCTGTGGAGCAACAGTGTTTGGCTGGGTGGCCAAAACACCAACATTTCTGACACTGAAATGCGAGGGAGGGGTCAATATAGTCAGACATGGTAGGACAATCCGCCAATATAAACTTAATGGGGAGTTTCATGTCTATGGAAGCTAATCTTGGTAACATTAACATGGGACTTCCGCTGGCCTCTGGGAGGAATAGTGTAGCACTGTACTGCTACTGCATCATAATCAGCAAGGCAGGTAAGTTGGTCATTTTCACAATCTGACCAGTTTGTACATGTGTGATGATCAGTTGGGGTGATAGAAAGAGTTCCAGTACAAGTATGAACAGAGAGATGAGGTGCGGTCATTTAGGGTTGATAGTGCACAAGCTTGGGATTCTGATGTAACCGTGGCTAGGCGTGAATGATCGGAGCGACTGCGAAAGGAAATTTTGCCTATGTGTTTTTGGAGGCACTGTTGAAAGAGAAGTGTATTCTCAGAGTAGGGGGATGTAGGGAGATCCCCAAAGAATCAAACCCACTTGGCTAGACCAAATGAGTATCTAAAAGGTTTGCAGAAGTAGAGGCAGTAAAAGGATGAGGGCGGGAGGAAGATGAAGTGGTGTTGAGTGGAGTAGTTTTGTTGGGTGGAGGACAATAAGGATGAAGAGTAGTAATAAGGGAAGCAGTGGTAGTCACTGAAGACTATGCAGCAAGAGATGGAGAGGAGAATGTTGGGAGGAAGGGGTGCATTCTGGAGGCTGAGTAATAACCTGGGTGGGTGGTACAGAATGGAGAGACTTGTCGGTAAATGTCGAGATGGTATTAGTATCAGTGGTCGCAGCCATGGTCAAAGAAGAAGAGAGTCAGAATTCATTAAAATCGGAATCAGGTTAGGTAGTTGATAAAGGGGTAAGCCTTAATGCCCTTATTAAGAGTAAAGAATCTTTATCAGTGGCCATGGTGATCCTGAATAAAATGGGGAAATGAAATGGTCTACCCCTCAGGGTTTCCAAAATGGGTAAGGGCAAGGCAATTAACCATAGTAATACCGTGCACATCTGGAAGCTGTTCATGACTGACACAAAGCCAGCCTTTCATCCTTTCAGCATGGCTCTCACACCTTAGGAATGGGACAGATGAAGAGGATGAAGAAGATACAAAAGAGAAAAGGAGAAGAAAACAAGCAAAAATAGTTGGGGTGTGGGCTGAAGTCCAAGGTAGGGGCAATCTCTACATTAGGCTTCCGTTTCCCCACCATGACAATGAGCAAGGAGGGATAAAATATAATAAATGGTCTGTATATAAAACAGTGGTTTATATGTAATATAATTTTAATGAATATAAAACTCCATTTAAGTAATATTTGAGTTTCAATAAAGTTTTAATTTTTCTCTTTAGTGAGGAACTATTACACTGTTTTGGGTTCTCTTACCACTGTATACATTTAATAGATCTTAGCTGTATGCAGCAGGAATTTAGCCTTCAAAGCAGGTGATTCTAATCTTCAAAGTAGTTATATGACTTGAGAGAGAAAACAATATAACATTAAATGAAAAATTAATCAGTGTTTAGAAGACACTGTATGTTATGTCCATTATCTACTTTATCCAAATTCTGAAAATGATAACAAATGTTTCTCAGGTAAATTCATGGAGTAAATGTAGTTTTGACTCCAACAACAACCATCAAATCTCCACCATGTATCCTCTAGCAAAAGAGATAACATGCATTCCTGGCAACAGATCATAAAATAAGGAACTTGTCTCAGCTGTACCTTGCCATTATATCCATATTCCAGAACTGTTGGTCCTTGCTGGAGAACGGGATGCCAAGGCAATTGTTTGACAATGAAGCTGTAGCATGTTGGACTTCAGAGTGTAGTCATTCTGTCACATGTCATGGTAATTACAAGAGATGGTCTCATTCTGAAAGCCACTGCAGAGGTCTTCTGAACATTTACTGAAAAGAAGCTAAAGTTATAGTGTACCCAAATGATAATCACACAGTTATGCAAGTTCCTCTGAACTTTGTATAACAATCATAAAAATATAACACTATATTTCATTCTTCTTTGAAAAACATGTAATACACAATATCATTGATATCATTTCCTTCCGTTACAGTGAGGCAACAATCTTACAACTCATCTTTCTTCTTTTATCAGTTTTTTATCAATATTATATTCCCAATCTTCTTGCTATGGGGCTTTAGATGTTTTTTGTCTATATTCCCTGTATCTTGTCTCCTGGAGTCTTCTTTCTGTTGTCCGAAGGTTAATTTTATCCCCGTTTCATATATTTATAATTCTTGATCTTTGTAAGATATTCATGTGTCGACTCTAAGTAGTATTTCTTAACTGGTGGATGATTGTTACCTGCTATGAGGAGAGAGACGATAGGATTAGTTATTTTTATCTTTATTGCCTCTAATAGTTTAGTTCTATCAGAGTGAAATCTTGGGTATTGTAGTTAGATTTTCTAATGTTTCTTCTGGATGTTGGCACCATCTGCAGCTTGGTTCAGTTTCTAGTTTGTCTGTGTAGGTGTTTTCTTAACCTTGTCAGGATTCTTGTGAGACAGACATCTAGTTTTCTGTTTTCTGATCTGGGCCACAGCTGTGGGTAATTATCTTTGAGGTGATTGTTTTATGTTAAATTTTGTTTAACTGTTCTTCCCACTGTCTCTTTCTTTTTTTTTATGATGTTGGTGTCTTGGGTTATGGCTGTGGAATTATCTAATTCATGAATTTTCTTTGCTGCAATGTCAATAACTTCATTGCCTAAAATGCTTTTATGTGCTGGAATCCATTGTATTGTAATGTCTTGGGTTTGATTTGTAAAGTGTATATTTGTTTGTACTTGATAGACAGTTTGTAGTTTTTGGGTTTGTGATTTTGTAATATTGATATTGCTGAGAGTGAATATGTAAAGATTCCTGTGTTATTTAAATTGTTGACTTTTAAATATATATTATATATATATATATATTAATATATATATATATATAGTTATATAGTTGGCATATAATTCTGCTTCTATAATTTTTTTTTTTTTTTTTTTTTGTAGTTTCCAAATTGTGATTTTCATTTGTTTTATAAAAATGCCCAACTGGTGATTAAGGTTTTTATTTTCGATCCATCTTTGAATGATATAGTTGTTTTCATATTTTGTACTTATCAGCATTTGGAATTACATTCCAATTTTTTCATGAGAGAAGTCTTTTGTGACATTGTCTATAAACTTTGTGAGAAGTTTGTGAGAAATTTCATGCCATGGTGGTATTGGAGTTATGTTCGGTATCCTATTAGAATTTATATTGATTTTGAGTTTTTTGCAGGTTTTCATTATAAGTTGATAATAAGTTATATGTTTGTTGTGGTAACATTCTCTCATATCTTTTTAGTATTTGTTCTGTTACAGGTTGTTGTTTTTCTTATTATCGTAACTTATTGAATGCAGGCTAATTCATTAGTTCTCTCTATTATTTAGGGTTTGTGAGGGATTGAAGTGATAATATAGGAATGGATTTAAAACAGTCTGCTGATATTCTTAAAGTTGTGTTTTGGATTGTAACTAATCTATTCTAATCTAATCTTATCTCTCTCTCTCTCTCTTTTTTTGCTGTTCAATATGGATAGTCCATATTCAATTTTTGGTTTCACATAAATATTCTGAAATTGGACTAAGAATTCTCTCTACTCCCCAACTGTACGAGGATATATTTTTCATTATGTTTATTCTGTTCAGAAATTTTACTTTGATGTTTTCTACAAGTTTTAGTTTTGGAACATTGAATCTATGATCTAATATATCTTGACTGTAGGTGAATTCTAGTTCTTCATTGTCAATTCTGATTTTTGGTAATTATTATTTTATTTATTTATTTATTCTTTTTTTATCATTATTATTTTTTTTTGTGTGTGTGTTGTTAAATCCTAGGTGTATGCCCATTCTTTTATTTGTTTTAAACCTCTTTCTATGAAGATTGTGGCTTCAGTTGGGTTTTTACTTGTAGTGATTATTGTTATATCATCTGCATGACTTTTTTCTGTTAATTTTAGATCATTTGTCATTATGTAAAAAAGTATTGGGCTTAATTGGGATCTTTGTGGGATTCCACTCAACATTGCTCATATTATAGAGTTTTGAATTTCAATTTTCATTTGAAAAGTTTTCTTTTAGAAAATTATGTCTTATTTAGTATATTTCCTCTTTCCTAAATTAGCCACTTTTACCAAAACTTCCATTTTTTCTTTTAACTGAGTGGACTTTTTGAGGTTTCTCCTCATTACTGAAAAGTGATCACTTCCAAGGTTAGAGGCTGTCTATTTGTAGGTGGCTTTGAGTAAGAAAAGCTAAACTTGTCTAATGCACTCTCCTTTGCATTTTCTGGGTCTATTCTTGTAGTCTGCCTGAGGGAAGTTAACAACATGAAGTTATTTTCTGTTATTATTTTAAATAAGCATTTGCCTGTTTTGTTTTAGGTTCAATTTTGAGTTTCAATTTGTATGGTGAGTGTAGAAATCTTCTATTATTAATTTTGGGTCATTAGGTTTATGTACTGTTCTTATTTGTTAAAGTCATTGTATGGGCAATGAATTAGAAGAACATGCAACTAATTGTTTTTGGATCATTTAGAACTGACCTAGCATTCCATATGATTTTATTCATTCAGGTATACCATGATCTTTTTGAATATTGTGTTGTTTTATTTTGTTTCATATGTCTAAGTTAGGGTGTTTTCTGCTGATCTGTGTAGATTTCTTTACATTTTCTTTGTGTGTTGCCATATTGTGGCTTAGTGTTGGTGTTATCATGTAATTTTTGTATGAATTCTTTAGACTATGTTTATGTGGGTCACAAATCATGAAAACGTTTCTTTATTTCCAGATTGTTGGGAGTTGTGTTGTTGTGTTCTGTGTATTTACCTGTTGTGCCATTTTGTGTATTTTGCTGTTGTGAGGGATTCTCGTGACAATAAAAGCAATAAAAATTATTTGGACATTGTAGTGTTGATTGAAATTGCAGAATTTACTAAATCTCATTTTGTTTTTACGTCATAATTCCAAGGCCATATCAAAGATATCTATTGCACTTTTGTATAGGAAAGGTGTTCGGATGTCCTGGATGGAATTTATAACAACTCTCTGGTATTTTTCCTTCTAAAGTTATTCTTAAAGATTTTGTTGGAACCCATTTTTCGGTGTTCTTTACTTTATTTATTAGAATGGCATATATCACATCATTTTTGTAGATAAATTGTGTCATATGTGCAATCAGTGCTTATGTTAAAGGCAGATTATTTACATTTTATATTCCTTCTCAAGTTTCACTATTTGACTTAATGGTGGCAATTTTGTTATGTCATATACTTCGAATCTGATGGCTTTTCCAGATCCAAGTGCTCTTAGAGTCTTCAAATATGTATTTTTGAAACACTGACTTGTTTAGTGCTTCTGTTAATTTCATTGGATTAATAAAGTTAGAACTGTTTAAATCCCCCGGTTAAGCTAATTAGTACTCCTTGGTAATTTAATTTTGCTTGCCTGGTAGTTGTCTTGTCTATCATGGATGGTTTAAATTCATCCGAGTTTCTGCTGGCCTTGTATCTCCTGGCAAGTTTTAGGGCTGGGTTTTCTTCAGTAACTTTCTTCTCTAAGTCTGTGATACGTTGTTCATTTATTTTACAGATCCAGGCTTTTCTCCTGGATCTAATTTAAATTTTCGTCCATCAAATATGCTTGAGAGTTCCCTTCACTCGAGTTCTAATGTACGTCTTCATTCGGGTAGGGAAGAACACCGAAACGGTCCGAATCAGACTGAATCGGAGACAAAACAGACCGAAATGTAGCTTGTAGGTTATTTTTACATTTTGATGCAAGAATTACACTTTATATAACTATTAAAGTCCACGTAATGAAAATTGAGCTAATATCTGGCCTGGATACAAGATTGGCTGGTTGGGTGTTAGAAAAACGGGATCAAATCATTGACAAAGGTGTATCTGCAACTTTGAAGAGCAGCATACAGGGATGTGGCGTAACAACGGTGGCGGCGTAGTCTTGCGTGGCTTCTATTAATTCTCTTCTTTCTTTCATTTCAGGCCAACTGTTGTAGAATCAAGATTTTATTCATTTATTATTTATTTTTTTATTATTTTTATCTTATTATTATTATTTTTTTTTTTTTTGAGTCATGCACAGGGCTGAAGCTTTTACGAAATTTGTCGTCTGCTAACGGAAATGAAAGACGACCGACGGATGATGACGTCACAATTGAATTAATTACCCCAGGATCGGTATTTTTTATCTTTGTACTGATATTACCAGCCCTATTTAATAGGATTGCTATACTACTTTCTATCAATCTTTTATATCGTGAGAGATATGATAAACATTAAATATTCAAAATAATATCTCATCTGTATACGGCTATTGGATATTATAATATTTAAATTTCCACTTCCGGCTCACGTTATTATGATTTTAATACGTATTACATATTACACACACCACACACACACACACACACACCACACACACATATTATATATTATATTATTATATATTATATTTATATATTTATATTATATTATATTTATATCAGTATAATTCAGCTGGTGATAATAAACACAAAAAATAATCCTATACTTAAATTAAATTACTTACATCAGTTGGGTATGCTCGTCTCTGACGGTATGTGATTCCTTGGAATGCATGAACTATTGCAGACCCTTGTCACGTTACTCTCAGAAGTCACCGGAATTCAGGTTATAATAACTAAAAGGTTAAATCTCTCCTCGAATTCACGGCGGCGTCCACGCGCAAGTGCCACACAAGCGCCCTGGCCTGCCCTGACCCTGCTGACCCAGCGCACAGTGCTGCCCTTGTTTACAAGACCTGTAGATTATCACCCCTATGTCCCCGAGACACAGTGTCTATAGTGCCTTGTAAAACATGAAAGGCCTATCCCCTCCATGGGATCAACACCACACTCTGAGACTTCAATGGAATATGGAGCTCCCTTGAACTACCATTCCATCTACCATACAACCAGTGAGAAACCATTTCCATAGTGTATAATGGTCTCTTTGGGTCAGGATTACCATTAAAATACTACCATTATAAGTCTGGCCTTGGGGCAAAACAATGTTTTGATGCAAAACAAAAGTGCTTAAAACAATAATGAGTTATTTTCCCATCTTCAAATAAATTGAACATGAAAATTACTGCAACCATCCTGGTATGAACTGACATGATTGTGCCCTCGACCTTAACGTCATCGCGGCGCGGAAATGCAGCGATGTCACTTCAGCTTTGGCATCACCCAAGGCAGAGCCGCAGTCCATAAAGTGACTTTAACTTCAGCTACCTAAC